CTCTCCACGTTCACCTCTGCTTCGCGGCGCGTTGAAATAATAGTTCTGCGTTCGGCCGTAGCGCCGTCCTCGAATGCCTCAAGGCGTCGAGCGACCTCTCGCCCTCCACTCGCTGTTCCGAGGCGCCTGCAACATCGCCGCGGGACGAAAACGGCATAAGTCGACAGTCGAATGGCCCAGCCCCTGCAGAGATCTAGGCGGCAACCCGCTCCTCCATCTCCAACCTCGCCCGACGCCCCAACCCCCTTGCCCCCCGCCGTCTCGCCTCTGCTTCCCGCCCCCCGCGGGCGGCCGCAGCAGCGCAAATTGCGCACTTGTTCTCTCCCCGGTCATAGCGTTCGCTGCCATAGGCGCACGAACAAAGACAGCAGTCGCACGCGGCATTTGCGTAAGAAAAGGAGCACCACAGGAAAGCCCGTGCCAACCGCGAGTCGAATAGGTCGCTGCGCTGCCTCACGAGAAGGCGCCGCTCGTCGCCACTGCAAGAACGGCCGGCTCCTCCTGGAACGCATGATATCTTAAACTGCTCTGAGTTCGTTGCTCAGTCAACTAACGGTATCCGGCGTCGCGTTGCATCTCCCATCGCCTTAGCGCCAAGGCGCAGACTTCTCCGCATTACGGGATGCGGCTCCGACCCTGGCGTTGGCATCCGGACTTTTCATGAATGCGTCTCTGACTTCAGCCTGAGCGCGCACACACGTCGCGCTGGATTCCCCAACGATGGTATGCCCCCGCTGCCGAGAGTCACTGACCTCGCCCCGGGCACGGTGCATCAACGCTGCACTTTCGTCTGCAGTGCGCTTTGCTGCATCGGCGGCCACGCGCATACGTGCCACCCCGTACTGGATTGTCGCCTTTGCCTCGGACGCTAGCGCAACATTGCGCGCCTCGGCAGCTTTTCGTTCATCGGCCAGTTTACTGACAGAAAACGGCCCGGCCCCCCAGACAGCAATAACGGCCTTCTCGGCACTGGCCGACTCGGACACGCGAGCCTGCTTCTCGGCGGCCTCGGTTGCCGCAAGTCGAATGGCCATCTCCTTCGGTTCGACATCGGCCCGCTCGGCGCGCTCCGACACAATGAACTATGAACTGCAGCCGTTTCCCGGACCGCCCTGAGGCCCGGGCCGCTGCATGACAATCCCAATCCACTTAGAGTATTGCGGCTGCCCTCTGTTGCAATTATGCTGCCATGGTATGCCCCCTCATCTGAGCCATGTCTCTGTTCCTCTCCTCCGTTACAAACTCGCGCTTCCTTTTCCTGACCAGGCTGCCATTCGCTGTTCTCTTGAAATCGACTGGCCGCGGAGCCTGGTAGTAGTAGAAGTAGTAGTCGTCGTAGTAGTACTAGTAGTAGTAGTAGTAGTAGTAGTAGTAGTAGTAGTAGTAGTAGTAGTAGTAGTAGTAGTAATAGTAGAGATAGGAGTAGTAGTAGTAGTAGTAGTAGTAGTAGTAGTAGTAGCAATAGTAGTAGTAGAAGTAGTAGTCGAAGTCGTAGTAGTAGTAGTAGTAGTCGTAGTAGTCGAAGTAGCCGTAGTAGTCGTAGTAGTAGTAGTAGTAGTAGTAGCAGTAGTAGTAATAGTAGTAGTTAGTAGTAGTCGTAGTAGTCGTAGTCGTAGTAGTAATAGTAGTAATAGTAGTAGTAGCCGTAGTAGCCGTAGTAGTAGTAGTAGTAGTAGTAGTAGTAGTAGTAGTAATAGTAGTAGGATTAGTAGGAGTAGTAGTAGTAGTAGTAGTAGCAGTAGTAGTAGTAGTAGTCGTAGTAGTCGTAGTAGTAGAAGTAGTAGTAGAAGTAGTAGTAGTAGTCGTAGTAGGGGTAGTAGTAGTAGTAGTAGTAGTAGTAGTAGTAGTAGTAGTAGTAGTAGTAGTAGTAATAGTAGTAGTAGTAGTAGTAGTAGTAGTAGTAGTAATAGTAGTAGTAGTAGTAGTCGTCGTCGTAGTCGTAGTCGTAGTAGTAGTAGTAGTAGTAGTAGTAGTAGTAGTAGTAGTAGTAATACTAATAATAATAATAATAGTAGTAGTAGTAGTAGGTGGTTGGTGGATGACGCATGCGGGCGGTCGCACTGGAGCCTTCGATGGAGCTCCCTGTGGAGCCACGAAATGCTGTGATGGGTGGTTGATGACGCATGCGGGCGGTCCACCTGGAGCCTTCGGTGGAGCTCTCTATGGGGCCACGAAACGCTGTGCGGGGTGGTGGACGACGCATGCGGGGTGACGCACACATGCGAACTGCACGACAGGGGCCTTTAGGCGGAACTCCCTATGGGGCCACGAAGCGTGTGAGGAGTGTCAAAATGGGGCGGCGGCGCCATGCGAGCTGCGCCACTGGAGCCTTACGTGGAGCTCCCTCTGGGGCCACGAAACGTGTGAGGAGTGTGTCAAAATGGGGCGGCGGCGCCATGCGAGCTGCGCCACTGGGGCCTTAGGTGGAGTTCCACGTTTGAGGTTTGTGCCAAAATAGGGCGGCGGCACCATGCGAGCTGCGCCACTGGAGCCTTACGTGGAGCTCCCTCTGGGGCCACGAAACGTGTGAGGGGTGTGTCAAAATGGGGCGGCGGCGCCATGCGAGCTGCGCCACTGGGGCCTTAGGTGGAGTTCCCTATAGGGCCACAAAACGTGTGAGGGGTGTGTTGAAACAGAGACATTATGAAGGCAGGGGCAAGGACTGGGAGAATGGAGGAGGGGGAGGAGGGAGGAGGAGGAGAAGGAGGAGGAGGAGGCGGGAGGGAGGGAGGGACGCGGGGCGCTGTCTCTTCAAAACGAGGACCCAACACCACAGGATCCCTGAGAATCCCTGGGAATGTTCCAAACTAACTGATTAACCAATTATTTCGCAACTTCGTCGGCTTGAGGGTGGACCGCAAGCGGCGGCCGACTAAAATTCAGAAAAATTGGTTAACGAGAGTCCTAACCGTGGAAGACCACTTCAGGCACGCACCCAGGGATGGTGTAACATCGTTCGGCCACCCCACTCTGATGTGCATGCAGCCTGATCTTCTTATTGTTCTTCTTCGACCCGAGGACGTCAGGGGGCATGGATGGCTGGCCCAGACACTTGGAGGAATAGCAACACTGCCTGAAACATACGCGTAGTTATGCCGTCATTCCTCCTTTTTCGACGGGCCACGCATGGCTGGCCTTGGCAGTACTGCCGGCACAGGCTCCGGCCTCTGGCGGCCGTTCGGGACGATCCTGGCACCCTCGGGAGGCTCTCGTCGAGGCGCCGCTGCTGGAAAGCGCCTCGAGGCTGCAAAAACCTCATGGAGTCGACGACTGCGCCCGAGAGCGGCCTCCCTGAGGACGAGGGCATCCGAAAAGTGTATGAGACGACATGACTGGTGCCAGGCCGACCCGCTCCCAGCACGATCCAGCAATGAGCCGGGGTCGGCTACACGCAAGAGGGACCCTGGGCTTAAGTCGGGCCTGTCCCCCATACAGGGGGATTCTGGTCAAAAGCGAATACTCCAAAATGGTCAATGAACAATCAAAAAAAAAGTCCCCATACTATGTTTTACTTTTTCTGAAGATTCCTCCTGTAGAGGGACAGGCCTGACTTGACCCTAGGCGACAGAGACCTTTGGTGCGCGGCTTGCACATCGCTGCGTGCGGCGCGACAGAAACTGGCGAGATGCGTGCTTGAGGTTGGCCCCCACGCACCCCCCGAAAGCCGCACACTAAAGGTCACGATGGCGAAGGGTCACTATGACGTGCGCGGTCGACTCAGGAGGGACAAAAGCACCACTACCACCTACCACCAGCGGGAGAGGTGGCCGCTCCCTCCCCTCGAGCTGGTGGCACCTCCTTCCGGCAACTCTCTGGAGGCATGCCCGGAACGAGGCGCCACCAGCTCGAGAGGGTGGGACAGCCACCCCCCTAGATGGTGGTAGTGGTACTTTTGTCCCTGGTGATCGACAGGGGGGCCCAGCGCCGATCTAATGAATCGGCTCGGACCTCCGACGAGTTCTGCTCACGCCGTGAGCTTTCTTCTCCCGCACGAGGGCGTCATGGGCCACGGATGGATGGTGGATGGATTTCGGGCCCAAGTTCGGGCATCAAGAGGCCGTTCGTGAAGATCCCGGCACCTCTGGGACGTTGTCGTCGAGGCGATGCTGCTGGCGAGCACCCCGAGGCAGCAATACCCCAGCGCAGCACCCTGACAGCAGCAAAGGTGAAGAGGTGGGTCGAGGAATAGGGGGTCGGCTAAAGTGGACAGGGGTGAGACCAACAGTATACGCGCATGTGTTTACCCAAGGACCGTGGCCGTCCGGACCTAAACTGCAGTCGGCATTGAGGCGAGAGCACGGTTTCGCAATATTCGTTGTGAAAGAAGCTCAAAAGAAACCGCCACCCGACCGTGCGAACCGCGCGGACTGAGGTTCCCCGCCCCTCCTTGTGGGACTCTTCCGTAATCTGTTTCTACCACCACCCCTCTCGAACGCTCGTGGGAGAAAAGCATGCGGGAGCCAGCGAAGACGTGCGAGAGAGGACCCCCTCATGGAGGAAGACATCCAAATGCGTCCAGCCCGAGAGGGAACCTGCGCCGATTCGACAAATCCGCGCGGGCCTCCGACTGCTCATGCCTGTGTGGTCTTTCGAGATTCGGCACGAGGGCGTCGCGTCATGGGCCACCGATGGCTGACGCCGACACCATGAGGGAGAACGTTAGGGAGGAACCATCTCAGGGGGGAAACATCGAGCTTGAATCGGCGATACATCGCCGATAGATCGGCAATCGGCCCCCCACCCCTGGAAAACCGCACGTTCACTAGGGGCAGGCGGAGGCCGTCCCGAACCCCTCCACCTACGGCAGGTTCGTGTCGTGCCGGCTTCGGCGATGGTTTCTGACACCGCGGGGGTTGCTGAACCTTGAACGATCGGCCGCTTCCAGAACGTCAAATCGTTCAACACCGACCGATTCTGCGTCGCCAGCGGCGCTCAACATTGAACGCAGGCGGCGGGGTCGCCGCCGGTCGACACAACGCGAACCTATCGTACCCCAGGTCCTCGATGTCAGGCACTCCGTCGCCGTCCATGTCGCCCTCCTGGGTGCAGTTCGAGGCGGCGTCCCAGCAGCTGGGGTCGTAGGGGTTCGCGTCCTGCCGCCGAAGACTTCCCCGCTCAGCACCACGCTGCCACAGACCCAAATCTCCGGCGCTTTGATTTGTTTAACCGGCCTTTTTTTTTCGACTTCGGCCATCGGGCACAAACGAAGCCAGGACGACAGCAAATTCGGGTGAGGATAGATCGAGAATCTTGGAACTCTGGCTGCTCTGGAAGCTGTCTCGGGCGCCACGGCCTTCTCGGAGAGTTCTGGTACGCTCCGAGAGCGTACTGGAACGCTCTGGAACGGACTTATCCTCGTCCTGGCCTCGTCTAATCGGGGAACGTTTTCGTGCCACGGGACCATCACGACAAGGATCTGGACGAAAAATTACCCCTCGGTGGGGCGGTCGGGAACTCCGAGAACCGCGGGCTGGCACGTCATGTGGGCGGAGGTCGGGGAGGATCGAGGGGATGGGGAGGAGGAAGAGGAGGGGGAGGGGGAGGGGGAGGAGGAGAGGAGGAGGGAGGAGGGAGGAGGAGAGGAGGAGGAGGAGGAGGAGGAGGAGGAGGAGGAGGAGGAGGAGGAGGAGGAGGAGAGGAGGAGGAGGAGGAGGAGGGAGGGAGGAGGAGGAGGAGGAGGGAGGAGGGGGGGAGGGGAGGAGGAACTGCGGGCCCGAGTTCCGCAGTGGAAGGACACATCCTCACTGCGGCGCGCGGCCTGCAGCTAGGCGCTGCGCCCCTTCGCAGCGGAGGCGCCCGCGCTCAGGATCCGCGAGACATCACCGGTTTTACCGAGGCCTTTCACTTCACATACTTTGCATACCTCTCACGTTGTCTTCGCAGTCCCACCGTAATGTTACCTGCCATGATCATTATTACACTCTTCGCAAAATAGGGCTATGAGAAAGTTGGGATACGCTGCACGAATCATGAAAACGACTTCAGCACGTGACGTGCAGCTTATGTGGCACAACATGGAGACAGCAGCCACGTGCAAGAAGCTAGCGCACGATTCGAATGTTGAACATCGTTCAGGTTTGAATAAGTACGCGCCAGAATTGGTGCCCCACGTGCCCGCATGCGAATTATTTCCGTTTCCTCTACCACTGCGGCGACCTACGGAGAGACACGCGCAGCTGAATGCCCCGAGCCATCGGGAACGATTCCATGTGAACTGTAAGGTGGAGGCCCCGAACACTGTGTCCGACATCCTCAGAAACCCCCAACGCAGAAGTCGTACAACTTTCAAGCAGTATGGCAGCATACGATTCGGCACCTAATGAGGTTCTTAGGAAAGTGGAGGCACCGGTGCGTTGTCTTCGACATCCTCGGAAGACCGAATGTCGGGCTCAGAATGCAATGGTACTTTTGGTGACGACACACTTGATAAAGTCCTAAGGTCTGCCAATCCCAATGTTGATGTACACGTCGAACTCATTAGTCTCATTCACGACGGCCTCATGCTTAACGAATTCACACAGATTTTGGAGAACACGGATACGAATGGATTCGAGCATGGTGCCACACACGGCCAGATTCCTCCCAATGTCCGTGACGCATTCTTGACGGTCGCCGCTGGGTATTAGTACATAGATGAATGTGGCACTGGGCGCGCCTGCGATACGCTAGTGTCCTCTCTGATTGCGAACGGGTCCCGTGTACAGCAGTACATTGAGGAATTACGCGCGGGCGAATCCGATTTTGACTTCAAATTTGGTACGATAGTGACACTTGTGACCTAGACACAGCGTTGAAGCAAAGAAGATTCAAGGTACAGCTCGCCAGTGTCGCATTTACGCTGTCTGCACTCACCCCATGTACCGCACCACCATCAACGTCCACATTCTCTCAAATCTATTCGTTTCTCTCCCCTCCTTCCCCGTCTTCTATGGGACGGGTAGGGGCGTGCGTTCGTGTGTGGTACGTATGTGTTTCGTGTGTGGCACGGCTGAGAAAAACAGCAAAACGGTCACGACGGCCCCAAAATGACACAAGATGGCAGTAATATGTTTCCAAGACAAGGCCGAGATGCCCCCAAGATGGGCCAAGATGGCCTCAAGATCGCCCAAAACGCGCCCAAAAGGCCCCTTATGACGGCCCAAAACGTTCCCAACAGGATCTCCAGGAAGCCCCGACGAGGCCAACATCATCGATGTGCCTTGGGTGGTTTTAAGGATTCTGACGTTGGCTCATTTGCAGCTCCCCGGCGGCCCAAGGCGACCACAAAAACCATTACGATGGCCACAAGAGCACCCAGGAGGCCTCAGAAATGGCTCTCGAATGGCACAAGAGGCCCTCAAAATGGCCCCCCAAAAGGGCCTCAAGACGGCCCAGGGGACTTCCAAGACGCCCAGGATGGCCTCCGTGGCAGCCCTGAAGCGTTCCAAAAAGGCCCCAACTTGGCCCACAGAGGTGCCCTGGACGGCTTCCGACGGCGCCAAGCGAGCCAAGAACACCCTCAGACAACCAACAAGAAGAAACACGGAACCCCCGAAAGGCCCTCAAGGGGTCCATGGAAACCCCCGAGATGGCTCCAAGAGGGCCCCAAAAAGTTCCCAGGAGGCTGGAGGAGTGCCACAGGGAAATTCCAAGAAGCCCCTTTCTCCTCCGTAGTGTCTCTCCTTCGTTTCATCTTCGTGCTTTTCCCCCCTCCCCGTGTTCCCCGAATGATTTCCACAACGATTGGGGGAAACACACAATCCGATAGCTTGGCCGAGCTAGGGCCTCAACGTTCTGGCCGCAACCTCGACAAGGCCAAGGGGGCGGCGGTGATTCGCCGGCCGCGCTTTCGGTACGTATAAATGTCGTGGGATCCAGATCGATTGATCTAGGCATGACCAGCGGCATACGACATATAATGCCCACTCGCTTGTTCCTTCCGAGAAACGCGTCTGAGCTCGCGAATGGAATGTCTTATAATGTAAGTCGCGAGCAGCACGCTATGCGGGGTGCGTCTGTCCAAAGAGACGCGGTGCAGCTCCCTATGAGGCCACGAACCCTGTGAGTGGCGCGCCGAAGTGAGGGCGGAACTGCATGCGAACGCTGCCATTGGGGCCTTCGGTGCAGCTCCCTATGGGGCCACGAACCCTGTGCGGGGTGCGCCGCAATGAGGGCGGAACTGCATGCGAACGCTGCCATTGGGGCCTTCGGTGGAACTCCCTATGGGGCCACGAACCCTGTGCGGGGTGCGCCGCAATGAGGGCGGAACTGCATGCGAACGCTGCCAGTGGGGCCTTCGATGGAGCTCCCTATGGGGCCACGAACCCTGTGAGAAGTGTGCCGAAATAGTGGCGGAACTGCATGCGAACGCTGCCACTGGGGCCTTCGGTGGAACTTCCTATGGGGCCACGGACCCTGTGAGGGGTGAGCCGAAGTGAAGGCGGAACTGCATGCGAACGCTGCCATTGGGGCCTTCGGTGGAGCTCCCTATGGGGCCACGAACCCTGTGAGTGATGCGCCGAAGTGAAGGCGGAACTGCATGCGAACGCTGCCACTGGGGCCTTCGGTGGAGCTCCCTATGGAGCCACCGACCCTTCGATGGGGTGCGCCGAAATGAGGGCGGAACTGCATGCGAACGCTGCCACTGGGGCCTTCGGTGGAACTTCCTATGGGGCCACGGACCCTGTGAGGGGTGCGCCAAAATGAAGTCGGAACTGCATGCGAACGCTGCCACTGGGGCCTTCGGTGGGGTTCCCTATAGGGCCACGAACCCTGTGAGTGATGCGCCGGAGTGAAGGCGGAACTGCATGCGAACGCTGCCACTGGGGCCTTCGGTGGAGCTCCCTATGGAGCCATCGACCCTTCGATGGGGTGCGCCGAAATGAGGGCGGAACTGCATGCGAACGCTGCCACTGGTGCCTTCGGTGCAGCTCCCTATGGGGCCACGAACCCTGCGAGGGGTGTGCCGACATGAAAGCGGAACTGCATGCGAACGCTGCCACTGGGGCCTTCGGTGGAGCTTCCTATGGGGCCACGAACTTTGTGAGGGGTCCGCCGAAAGAGGATGGGCACGCGGAGAGCACAAACAAGGATGGGAAAGCAGGAGGGACGAGGAGGAGAAGGAGGGGGAGGAAACGGAGGAGGAGGAGGCGGGAGGGACGCGGAGCGCTGTCTCTTCAGAACGAGGGCCCAACACCAGAGGATGCTTGGGAAAAACACGGCGACGAAGAGGACGACAACAACAACGGGAAGGAAGAAGAGGAGGATTATGTGGAGGCGGCGCTCGGAGGGAGGACGAAAGAGGAGGACGATAATCCCTCGGGGGGGGGGAAAGAGAGAGGAGAGAGAGCGCGCGCGAGAGCGCGTGCAAAATATAGAGGGGGAAAAACCAGGGAATGCAAAGAGAGAGAGAGAGAGAGAGAAACATAATGAGAGAATGAGAGAATGAGAGAATGCGAGAATGAGAGAATTAGAGAAAGAGAGAATGAGAGAATGAGAGAGAGGAATGGAACCACTGAAAGGGAGACTATCCCAGCAAAGCAAACGAACAGCGATATGTAGGAGCATATCTGGAAGCATTCCCCTTAAGATTCAGATGAGAATCCAGTTGTAGAATTCTGCTGTTATCGCAGTCGTAGTCGCACTCGCGATGACAGCCGCAGCGGCAACGGCAGTCGCAGTCACAGCCTCAGCCTCAGCCTGCCTCAACCTCAGCCTCAGCCTGCCTCAGCCTCAGCCTCAGCCTGCCTCAGCCTCAGCATAAGTCAGGCTTCAGCCTCAGCATCAGTCAGGCTTCAGCCTCGGCCCAAGCCTCAGCCTGCCTCAGCATCAGCCTTCCTCAGCTTCAACCTCAGCCTCAGCCTGCCTCAGCATCACCCTGCCTCAACCTCACCCTCAGCCTCAGCCTCAGCCTCAGCCTGCCTCAACCTCAGCCTGCTTCAGCCTCAGCCTCTGTCTGCCGTCGGCCTCGGCCTCAGCCTCAGCCTGCCGCAGCCTCAGCCTGAATCGGCCCCAGCCTCAGCCTAAGCCTGCCTCAGCACCAGCCTGCCTCAGCCTCAGACTCAGCATCAGCCTGCCTCAGCCTCAGCCTCAGCCTGCTTCAGCCTCAGCCTCAGTCTGCCTGCAGCCTCGGCCTCAGCCTCAGCCTGTTTCGGCCTGAGCCTGCCCCAGCCTCAGCCTCAGCCTCAGCCTCAGCCTGCCTCAGCCTCAGCCTGCTTCAGCCTCAGCCTCAGCCTGCCTCAACCTCAGCCTCAGCCTGCTTCAGCCTCAGGCCTGCCTTCGGCCTCGGCCTCAGCGTATGTCTGCATCAGCCTCAGCCTCAGCCTCAGCCTGCCTCAGCATCAGCCTGCCTCATCATCAGCCTCAGCCTGCCTCAGCCTGCCTCAGCCTGCTTCAGTCTCAGCATCAGTCTGCCTTCAGCCTCGGCCTCAGCCCCAGCCTGCCTCAGCCTCAGCCTGCATGAGCATCAGCCTCAGCCTCAGCGTATGCCTCAGCCTCAGCCTCAGCCTGCCTTAACCTCAGCCTGCTTCAGCCTCAGCCTCAGTCTCCCTTCGACCTCAGCCTCAGCCTCAGGCCGCCTCAGCCTCAGCCTGCATCAGCCTCAGTCTCAGCCTCAGCCTGCCTCAGCATCAGCCTGCCTCAGCCTCAGCCTCAGCCTCAGCCTGCCTCAGCCTCAGCCTCAACCTCAGCCTCAATCTGCCTTCAGCCTCGGCCTCAACGTCAGCCTGCCTCAGCCTCAGCCTGCATGAGCCTCAGCCTCAGCCTCAGCCTGCCTCAGCCTCAGGCTGCCTCAGCCTCAGCCTCAGCCTGCCTCAGCCTCAGCCTCAGCCTGCTTCAGCCTCAGCCACAGCCTGCTTTCAGCCTCGGCCTCAGCCTCAGCCTTCCTCAGCCTCAGCCTGCATCAGCCTCACCCTAAGCCTCCGCCTGCCTTAGCATCAGCCTGCCTCAGCGTATGCCTCAGCCTCAGCCTCAGCCTGCCTTAACCTCAGCCTCAGCCTCATCCTGCTTCAGCCTCAGCCTCAGTCTGCCTTCAGCCTCGGCCTAAGCCTCAGCCTGCCTCAACCTCAGCCTGCATCAGCCTCAGCCTCAGCCTCAGCCTGCCTCGGCCTCAGCCTGCCTCAGCCTGCCTCAACATTCAAAATGTGGCCCGGAAGTGGAATTTTGGGAACTCGAAAAGCACGAAGTGGCCCACAGCTGGCTCCGGGCATTCAAAATCATGCCCAGGAGTGGAGTTCTGCGAACCCGAAGACCACGAAGTGGCCTATGGTTGGCTCCGGGCATTCAAAATCATGCCCAGGAATGGAGTTCTGGGAACTCGAAGAACACGAAGTGGCCTACAGTTGGCCCCGGGCATTCAAAGTCATGCCCAGGAATGGAGTTCTGGGAACTCGAAGACCACGAAGTGCGTTGCTGTTGGCTAAAAAAGAAGTCCCCAGTTTCCCGGGGCACCCTGTCCGGATCCCGCCCAGACCCTCCTCGGGAGTCATGATGCTCAATTTTGACACTCCGGGAAGCCCATCTGTCTTCGCTGCCAGGTAATATTCATTTTAAATAAATAAAAAGAAGAGACAAAGAAAGAGAAAGAGAGAGAGAGAGAACAAAAAAATGAGAGAATGAAAGAATGAGAGAGAGGGAGAAAGAGAGAGAGGGGAAGAGAGAGAGAGGGAGGGGAAACAAAAAAAAAAACAAAAAAAATGAGTGTGAGAGA